AGAAGGATCCTAGGAATAAGTTACCTTGAAAGGAAAACTAATGAATATGTCTTACACCAGGTCCATAGACTGGCAGGAAAACAGGAACCACTCCTTTCAATCGTAAAGAAACGGAAACTACAATGGTTCGGCCACACGGTAAGACATGACACATTGTCCAAAACGATTCTACAAGGCACAGTAGGAGGAGCACGAAAGAGAGGTCGACCGAATAAGAGCTGGCTTGACAACATAAAAGAGTGGACTGAAATGCCCTTGGATAAGCTACAGAAAATAGCATTAAACCGAGAAGAATGGCGAAGACTGATAGCGCGAACTGTCATAGCACCCCCACGACGAAAGTCAAGGGACTGATGATGATGATGATGAGTTCAAAGGTGATATACTAACAAGTCTAGAAACTCGATTCAAGGAACATTGAATGCTGGTCAAACTGAAGACTATATTTTCCATACAACTGGTTGTGATTCTGAGACTGAGAGATGAAATGGTGACTGGGCTAGCCCCCTCTTCTTGTAGCCACCAGTTCAACTGCTCCTGTGCTCTAGTCAGTTGTATTAGCCACTGTTCTAGGAACCTAATTTTACATTCTCAGGAACACCTACCAGTGTGACTAAGAGAAAGATTCCGTAAAAATCACCGCTGGTTCGATATATTTTAGCGCTGCGTCTAACCAGACCACAAAGCTAGTATTGAAGTGTCTTTGCCTATTGTCTGTTAGGGATGAAATAAATTACCAAAGGCCTCTATAAACTGAACACCCCAGACATCAGAGGCCATTGAGATTCGCTTAAATCAACTGGATCTATTTGTGCGAAAGAAGCAGGTTCAGACACTATTACTAGCCTGAGATTCTGTTGAAACTATGAATTCATAAATTCTGTTATCTGATATTCAATCAGTTTAGTGTTATATTAATGCATATTTGTCCATCTCTTACTGATGCTTCTGAACTGTAATCACCTGTCAATACTATTGATTCAGTGTTATTTAAAACAGCATTAATGTTGTTAATACCAATATTTTCCTAATTATCATGGTTATATAGCTGTCGAATCTGAGGAGAAATTCATCGAAAACAATATTCTTCATTTATTAATCAGTCTTTTAAATTTTTGATGGGCATCTTTCACTTTTACTTGCGATTCATTCTTACTCCAATCGCTTCCTACTTCAATGTGTTCCATCACACCATGCATTCATTAAACTCTGGTTCTTCGATTATTAACTATTTTGTATTCCCACCTGCTGTTTCACAATTATGCCTTTCGAAGTTAAATAATTTGTGGTGTTGTACTTTTTTTTAGGTGGTTTTTAGGCAACTGATGAAAAGCCATGAAATAAAAATCCACTAACTCTATTTATCCTGTAAGCATGTTCATTCGTGTATGGTGGAGATGAAAGCCTGTGATAAGTCGTGGACCATCTGAGGAGGACCGCAAAGAACAGAAGGAAACGGGGGTGGTGTGCTGTCGAAACTCAAGGGAATAATAAATAATAATAATAAATCAATAAATCCTTCGTTATTCTGGGTAGAATTTTGTGTATGACTGCCTTACAGTTCTGACACACGAATATATCACTGAACATTTAAGAAATGTAAACACCTATTCCCGAAAAAGGAGAGAAATTATTTTTCTAAAGAAAATGTCAGTTGGACCTATCAGAGAAGCCAAAAGACTTGAAAACTACTCCAGCGGTCTCTAAGCTTTTATTAATTCTCCGACTGACGTCAGCTAATGACAAAATCTATCTTAGAATAGCTTCGCCTTGTGTTCAGTGTACACTCGCTGATAGACAACATCGTTAGCCGTGTTATTAATATGTCATTATTTCTGCAGCTTTAACCAAAAATAATTGAAATCTCCCGGCTAATATCGCCGTTACAGCATCGATATGAGCACTCATGCAGACAGACAAACATCCTGTGGCTTCATTATCTGCAGTAATTAGGTATCACGGATCAAATGAAGGGGATTTTTTGAAAGTTGGTGGACACTGACCACCTGTTTCATTCTAGTCGGTGTATTTATAGTCCATGCTGGGGTTAACTGACATGACTTACTGAGGGCACACTCAAGTGCATGCACAAAAACTAACAATAATGTTATGTTAATTAGCTGCCTAAGCACATTAGTATTATTATGGTCCCCTTGGGTTCTGAGCGGAACACTGGACTTCAACAGCAATTCTACACTCCTTCCTATTCGACCCACTCCTCTTTAACTGACCACTCAATCGCTTATAGTCTCTCATCTCCACCTAACACAATCTCCTTCATGTCACCCTCGGACACTTGCCCAACACACCATTCCCTATTACGGTTCCACTCCAGCTATGATCGGGCACACAGTGTCACATGACGGTTTCCTCAGAAAAAGAGTTCAGTCAATCTCCATCCTCTTCAGAATATTCTCTGAGCAATAGTATTTCGCTTGTTGATTATTTCCCAGAATTATGATTTCGCTAATTCTTTCTGTGTGGCCATCTGGTCTTCAGTGTGGAGGCAGTGAAGAGTCAGGTGTTGATGAAAGTTTGTAGTAGTGTGTTGGAAGTGTTCTCCGTGAAGTGTGTGTCAGATGGCTAAGCCATACAGAAACAGTGACTGACTGACTGACTTATCATTGGTGTTGAAAATCCGAGTTTTGTTGTTTATGCGGTGACTGGGTGCAGAAGATTTCTAAGGTGATTTCAGAGTGATGAATGTGTGTCTTGCTTTTCCGATCCTGCATTCGACATCGTGATCAGTGTGGTGTGGCTGTATTTGAGACGATGTTTCGTTGATCAGTGAAGGCATTTTTCTCTTTCGAATTTCTTGGTGGTTGGTGTGTTGATTGGTGTGTTGGTTATCTTCATCGCCTCCATCTTCTCTGTGTTCACTTGAAGTTCTGTCTTCTCTGGCAGCCAGCTTCTTCATCTACCAGGTTGTAGGTTTTCGCCTGTAGATTTTCTAGTTTGTGTGACATTGGACATGAGTCGATGTTGGAATCCATATCTTCTGTGGCCTTTGTATTGTTCGAATTTATTTGTGTCTTCTCATTGCTCCTACACTGTGTTTCGCGTAATTCAGTCCATCACAGTTATGAATGACATTGGTGTTAATGGGCATACCTGTCTCACTCCTGTTTCACTTCAAATTAATTTATATAAGAATGATAATAAATGGAAAGAATATAGCCGATAATTGAGCTGTTTACCCATGGGTTATCTCTAATTGGCATCAATCAATAATCGACTGCAACGAAATAAGAGATTTCAGTATACTAGTTCGTTTACCATTCAGTCAGTGTGGTTAACACTTAACCTCAAGGTCGTTTATTCGGTCCATATTGGGCTGGGTCAAGAATATATTACGGTTAGCATCTCCAGACTAGGATGGAACAGCTGTCCAGTCCCGTATGATTTTCTATGATTCTCTAACTACTTCTCGTTTGTAACGAAATATGTAGTAGAATTGTTCCAAACTCCTCGAAAAAGACAATATTGGAATTTTACGAAGTTTTTTTTAAATGCAGCATATTTAGGGAAAATTTACCCTCTCCAACAGTCTGTTTTCACTATTTGCACAGTAAAAACAATAATCAGCTGTACGGGGACTGATTGATTTCGGAGTTGGTTTGAAAATGCACCGGTATGATTTAAAGAACAATTGAAAGCAAGAAGAGAAGTTTCTGGGTAGCTATTTCATTTTACTTCAGGACTCTCCAGATGTGTGTCCTTATGACCTCACCATGTATAGAACTGGGGATCTTCAAGTTATGAGGTGAGCGTGCTCACTAATCAGTTACTGGAATTAGATGGGGTTTCGATTCGGACTGCTGCCAGTTCACGATATATATATATATATATGTGAATACATATATATGCATCGCCAACCTTTACAGGCCAGCACACTAACTTTAACAGTTGCGTACCTTTAGGTGAAAAGATAAATTTAAGCCATTCTGTATACCTCAGAGTTCTGAAAATCTGCTTTAAAGATGTGGCTGACATAGAACTGGAAAACCTTTTCTAAAACACTCCTAAATAATGGATGTGCTAAAAGCTTTATTGAAAAGAATGCTAAGAAACAAATCGCTCCCAGCAGAAGTATAGGCATAGGGAAGGCACTATGTATAAGTTTGGCATTCGAATGTAATACCTTTGCTGAAGTTATTGAAAATCTTCTATCCAAACGCATTCAACTCTGTTTTCATTCCACTGACTTACACCTGGTCAACTCTAGCGGTAGTGTGATTGACAATGACTGAAAGACAAACTACTGCTTATGTCTACCTGTACTTACATCTACATTTTCATGTGCTTCTGCGAAGCTGACTTCACAGAACTTTGTCCTCCGGAAACATACAACTGAACACTGTCTAGTTCGGTTGATAAAAGATGAACGTAGGATGACGAAGTCTTCCATTTGTAACCACCTCCTTGAGTCAGCTCATTCAACCCTACGTGATTTGTCATTTAAAACTATTTTCAAGTATTGGTTTTGTAGGGATTTTGTTTGATTGCATGGAGGATTTCATCATGAGCTGACATCAGTTAGGAAACCACTGGAAAACCTGGGAGTACTGGATAGCTGTTTCTTCCTAGTTTGGGACTCTTCATCAGTATGCACTCACCGGGTTTTGAACCTACGGGCCCGCCTTGTAACTAGGAGGTCTTGGTTTCGAGTCCCGGTGGGCACGTGCTGCTGAAGAGTCCCAAACTGAGACGAAACAGTTGTCCAGTAATCCCAGGTTTTCCAGTGGTTCCCTAACTGATGTCAGCCCATGATGAAATCCTCCATGCAATTTGAAAACTATTGACATCGATAAATTCAGTCACCCTGGAAGTTTATGCTTTCTCCACTTATATTCAGCCGAAACTCTAGGTATATGTGGGGAAAAAAGCGTAAAATATATACATTCAAAAATCAACCAATAGAAAAAGTGAGAAATGACTTCAATGAATTCATGTAATAATAATCGTGGAGATTATCATTATCTTTTGTTCTTGTTATTTACCTTTTGTTGTCTCCTCATCTTCGAACGGAGTTTTCAGAGCTGTTATATCTCTAAACGCCAACAAGAAGAGTACAACCTCTTCACATTCATTTCTTACTGGAGCAACACAAACAAGCAACCAAAATGGAAGACCTACAACATAAAGATACAAACAAAAAAGCGAAGTGATATTAGGCATTTATTATTGTAATAACTGACTGTTAACATCCATGGTTTGATATGTCTTGTTCAACTGGTAGACTATCTTCAGTTAATCATCCTTTGAAGACGACGAAACACTGAGGTGTATACTAACTACATTCACCGAGAACTTCATGTGGGATCTGCTCAGAGGATGTCCGATTCAAATAGTCAGCTCCTACCCCGTGAGTTCTTCAGGTGAAACAATATACTTTGAATTGACAAGTTTAGGATGCTATGCATCCAGAAGTTTCATCAGCGAAACTCGTTTTTTGTTATCTAACAATCAGGAACTTGGTTATTGGTGCGCATACTTTTGAAAGTATCTAAGTAAGACGAAGTTGGTGTCGGCTGTTAATCAGTTTGTAACACTCTTCCTAGATTATATAAATCGATAACGAGATCAAACTTAATATGATCATGAGCAGTAAAATGTGCTCAAAACGTCATCCCTAAATATTACTGTATAACACGGGACTTTATCAAATAAATTCTCTCAGCAATGGGATCAACCTAGAATTTAATTAAAGCTTTATAACTCCTTTTGCTAAAAAGAATTTTTAAGTTGTATATAGAGAAATACCTGCCAGAAATACCTTGAATAGAGTAGTAACATCTGCGAGTATTCCGCTAATATAGTCATCGATGTCAGGAAACCAATCAGAATTGGCCTATGTAAGTGACTGTTGTCCACTCTAGGAACAAACCAATCAGAATTAGTCTACATAGGATAACGCCCACTATTTTACTGATCATGATCATACACTAATTGACATGTCCATGCTGATTTTTTGAATTATACGTTATTGTGTGTGTAAAAATACTTTCTTCCCGTCTCGTCTGCAGGCATTCCGCATTTATTTATTCTTAAGTGAAATGACTACATAAAAATAAACTATTAATGGTAGATTATCAGTCCCACTAATCTGTGCACAAATGACACCTTAGTCAGTCGAATCATTTAAGGGAATGGACAGGGATTCGTCAAAAATGAGGATATAAATTCACTTCCGTAACTCGCAATCTGCCGTCAGCCACACCTTCTTTCCTGTCGCATTCTAAAGGAAACTATCACAATAACATGCTATCCCTTTTTCAAATTCCATGATGTTTGAAGGCGAAATGAAAACCCTGATTCAAATTAGGTGCCCTCCAGTTAACTAGCCTGGCAATTCAATAGCATTTTACTGCAATCATCACAAATCAATAAATGTGTTCTTCATGTTTCTCAATAAAAAAAGAAAAAAAACTTACGATTTTTTTTATAAAATAACATTTCAATTTGGTCTGGTGTTTGAGTATCCAGTGCCTTAAGTAGACGTTCACGCATTTCTTTAGTTGTCTGTTCCCCGTAGAAGAATGCACAACTTCCACTCTTCTGCATAATATCCACACGACTGTAACCAGTTAACCGTGAAAAGCCTTCATTACAATAGACAATGGGATAGTCGACTATACGTGCATTGGCCAGTACAAAACTATAAACTATAGGGGAAAAAAGAAAACAAATAATGGGCAATAATACTGGTGAGCTGTAACATCAGTGTCATTTATAGACGTAATACATGCAATCATACAACTTTCAGCTGTTATAATATCCATTTGGACATTATATTGAAATTATATGAAAATAAATTCATCGTTCTTTTCCAGAGGATTTATAAGCGATTCGCTCCTGCTACAGTACTGGACTACATTGACTCCTAGCTTAGAAATAAGGAGTGAAGTGGTCTGTGGAGCATGTTTACCACTTCACTTATTCGGGAAGTTGTATCGCCAAGCCAACGACAATGGGTTGATCGCTGACGAAATCTCAGCACGGATACATAAGGCTCGTCTCGCATATGCCAGTTTACACCGTCTCTGGCGTAGACGTGATATCCGGATGGCTATTGACCAAAGTCTGTGTCTACTGCTCAGCAGTTCACTCCGTCATCTTTTATGGCTGTGACACCTGGCCATTGAGAGTAAAAGACATGAAAAGGCTATCTGTCTTTGATCATAGGTGTCTGCGTTCTATCTCCCATGTGAAGTGGTATATTAGGGTTAGCAATAATGAGGTGAGGCCTCGGTCGAGTGTTAGGTAAGGAGGGGAAATCAATAGACGAGGCTGTGAAATCACATCAATTGAGGTGGTCAGGACATGTGTTACGCATGCTTAGCCATCGCCTTCCTCTACTGACCGGCGATGTTAGCTGACACAGGGTCAGGTTGGAAAAGAGCTAGTGGTGGTCAAACCAAAACATGGCTTCATCAGTCAACGAAATCCATAACAGTTAGTTTAATCCAGCCAAGTAGGAAGGTGTAGACTTGCTTCCTGGTTAGGGTCATCGGGACGGTAAAAACCAATGGCTGGAGACAATTGGTGATATGGCTCAAAATCGTTCTCAATTCATAGCGCAGATGCGTCCACTCCTTCCGACTTATAATATCCAATAAAACTATATTGTTCTTCGACATTACTATTCTTTTTGCCTCATATATCTGTTTACTGTCTCTATTTTGCATTTCTTTTTACTGAGTGAAGTGTGGCGTCTCGAACTGCTGCACATCGGTGCAAAGTTCTATGTTGAAACCAGTCAGTTAGTCAGTCAGTCAGTGTGTCTCATTACTGTGGTGCAGGACTGGTCCCCTTTATTATTAGTTGGCTTATAAGCATTATCTTCTGCGAATTTCAGCTTTTAGGATTACTTTCGTTTGGTTCTTGCCCTTGTATCGTTGAATCCATCAGCAATTATTGGGCTTTGCATAGTAAATAACTCTTATTTGAACACATTGTATAGCTACTAGCTAGCTTTGTTGAACTATGCTTCGTGTTTCATTTCTATACTGATATTCATTTTTCTTACCTTCTCTCTCTGATAAGTTTTCACATGTCTGGAGTTAAGAGTTTTATATTTTGATTTAATTCACTTTCCAAATAGTTTCCTATTCTATTCAGCCCCTCTACAACATCCATTTGAATAATGTCTTATCAGGACAACGACCATGGAGTGCAAAAGCACTGGAGACCTTGAACACTTAGCATTCGTTAGATTACAGAACCTGCCGTTATTACAACACCAGTATGAATGCAGTGCACAAACTGATGTGCAAATTTAATCCTGATGCCATTTTTAAGTACTATTTGAACAATGTACTGATAGCATGTTAGGGTTAGGATTATGGTTAAAGTAAGGATTAGAGTTAGGGTGTCATATTATCATCTGTATTTTTTCCAGTAAATAAATATATATATGGGAGGAGAGTATTTTCTTGTTCATGTAAATGGAACTGTCTTGATAGCCATGAAACCTGGAAACTGATACAATTCATTGTGACTGGGAAGTATTTGTGAGTTGTTTGAGGGTAAAATACCGTCTTCAATGTATTTCATTATTACTGTGTTAATTTTTCTTCTAAATAAACGGCTTTTTGCTGTAAGATAAATGGCAGATTCTATAATCCAACGAATGGTATGCATTCAAGGTTCTTGATGCGTTTGCCATCCGTGGTCACTATTCTTTATGTTTGCCTGTTTTAATATAGTAATTTGTATATTGTTCACGATTCTTTCATCTTCCGAAAGAATGGTATTACAGTAGTGGAAATAGCCTTCGGACAGTATTCTAATCGGCAGATTCACAGACGATGTCCAAAATGTTAAGCAAACCTACTGTCTTCTCATTAGAATACTACAATTTCAAGAAAAACTATTGCATTTCATTCATTGCTGATTGTTTCGCTTAACATCTACTCATGATGTTGAAAATAAACTGGAAGGTGGATTAAAAATTGCCACAGTGTAACACCACTCAACCTGACTATAGTAATGATATTTTCTATGTTCAGGAGCAATTGCATTGATTTTCTGGGATTCAGGTAAGGTAGGTTTGCAAAGGTAGGACACACCTTCACTGCTCTGAAATCGGTGTGAAAATCCACCGCAATCAGCATAAGGAACAAGATCCAGACCTTCAGCACCAATTTCAAGTCACTAAGGGATTCTGTAAGGTTCAGAGGCTTGGCGCTCGCGTCACTGTCTCAACAGCCTACTGCGGACTTTTATTTATTTATATACTGTCACTGGCTTGATGCTCTAACAGCACAACAAACATAACAAGAACCTACCTCCTTACAACAAATATACAAGTGAAAATGGGAATGGACTGGATATAGGTTGAGGAGACCATTAAGAAACAGCGCATAATACCTAGCAGATCCTGCAGCAGAACTTGAACGGAAAACAACGAGTTTGGCGTGAATTCGAGGGTAACATGGGGGAGATCTTGTGAGTAGGCGATTTAAGCCTATAGTGAAGACTATAGAAAACAAAGTGCAATGCAGATGTTCGCCTCAGAAACCAAGGGAATAATAATTCTAAAAAATAAAAAGTCATAGTGACTACTTGATCGACTGACTTTAATTAAGGCTTACAAGAATAAACTACATAGAAGAGTAAGTGCTGTACTCTTGTAGATTATTTTGTACAGACAGAACGAAATCAAACGGATTATGGGCTTTCCGATCTTTTCTGGGGGGGGGGGGGGGAGGTGGTTTCCACATTAGGCCCACAGGATCAATATTTTTGTGTTTCAAATCAGATGTTATGAATGCATAAAGATGATATCGAATTGTTTACTGGCTAATTGTACAAGTTTTATTATTGGTGAAGACAACACAACTACTAAAGCTGAGAAATGAGAACACTGGTGTAAAGAGAAAGAGCGAAAACCTATGCATCTGCCGGAAATTCGCTCATAATCTCAGATGTGAATAATTGCTAAAAGTGAAAAAAGAAATCACTTCTTCTTCCATCTATTGTACATAATGCCCCTGGCTGTATGCAGAAAAAGAAGGCATTGATTACAGCAATACAGTACAGCTATAAGTTATCTTTTTGTAATATATCACTATACATGAATCTGTCACTTTTTTATTCCTTCACGTTCCCAGTGGAAAATAGGGCTTCAAGCTAGAGGCCTGAAGTTTCTGTAGCAGTGTTTATTTTTACAGGACAGGGTTGCTAGCCTCATGCCCAACCTTTCCTCTTTACCAGCTTTTATTACTGGCTTAGCGAGGTAAGGGAGTGCGTCGGTCGGGGATCGAACCCCGGACCATGTGCATGGTCGGCGAGCATCCTAACCGCTATGCCACCGACGCACACATGAATCTGTCTGGTACTCAATATTTAATAATTGAATTATCTAATACTATTTGAGCTAATTTAAGAAATCTAATCAACACCTTATCAGTTATTGATCAATCTGCCTGGTTATTGTCAATAATACCACAGAAATCATTTCCTGTCAGGTGTTTTCAACCGACTACTATTCACGTCAATGCAGTAAGTATTTTGCATTATAACTTGTTCACCTGAATAAAATACATAACAAAAAAATATGCAGTCAACTACATACTAACCATTATCGATTTTTTTTTCAAAATCAATCTATAAATAACTTCTCAATTAATTTTATGTCATTTCCACAATTTATCATTTTGTCTGTGTATGAGGTAATAACTGTTGTTTTTATTATTGTTTATTATTATTATTATTAATAGTAACATTAATTTAAAATATAAAAATGTGTACTTGAGTGAATGAATTTCACTTCCTGTGAATTTAATTATCCATTATTCATTGAAATTATCTAACCTTATCAAAATATCAATCAATATCACTGATGATAATGATGCTGATAGTGATTAAGACGAGATCATAAATTAACAGGGATCCAAATATGATACACGCCTAAAAATATTGCATCTGAAATGATAATAAATAGATATCAGCAAGAGTTAATAAGCGTCGGTGGCGCATCGGTAGAATGCTCGCCGACCACGCATGTGGTCCGGGTTTCGATCCCCGGCCACCGACGCACTTCCTTACCTCGCTAAGCCAGTAACAAGAGTGGTAAAGAAGAAAGGTTGGGCATGAGACTAGCAACCTCATCCCGTAAAAAATAAGCTACCGAAACTTCAAGCCTCTAGCTTGAAGCCCTATGTTCCACTGGGAACGTAAAGAAGTAAAAAAATAATAAATCAGTTGCAAAAAAACAAACAGCCAGTTTATTCAAGAACAAAGATCAGCCGGCAAGTCAACAAAACTAGGGAGCACTATGCTCCTGATCTTTTATCACATGTCGCACTCTTAGAGACTTCAGATTACTACAGGTCATGAATTCTAGTTTGTGTCAATTTGCTATCGACATCACACAACAGGTGCTCAAGTGGAACTTGAACCGGAAGCGACCGGTTCGGCTTTTGAATAGTGACATTGGAGGAGATCATATGAAGAGGAATTAAGAGCCTGTGGACAATGGTACAATGGAAATGGACTGAGTGGGCGGGAGATGTGCTGCTGAAGACCTGTGTTTCGCTAGGAACTTATGGAGTAATGATCGTAGTAAAAAAATAATAGTATAAATTGTCATTTTTGGTATTCTCGAGTCTCTTGTCGTTTGACAAATTGTGAATAAAGCAAGAACAGCGATTTGTGCAGA